CTAGATTTATATATTAAGTTGCTCAAGCAAGTGGCAAAACATTTAAACTACTTTTCTTACGTTATCACAAACTTACCATTGACAGAAATAGTCAGCTCTACTGCCTTTCCTTTTGCATTGAAATCTTTATTACAAGCAATCCTGTGGTTCATAAAGAACTTTGTTTTCCTACCTCCACGAGTGCCATCTATTATTGCCTTGTTTATCTAAAAGTGCTCTTTCCCTTTAAACCTAGCCAAAAAGCCATAGCCTATATGTGTTGACTGTGAAACACAGTAGACTTTAATAATATGCATTTATGGTGTAATTACTACATTTTCGTATCAATCCATGTTCATATTTACCGCAAACAATGCGCTGTTACTTTAATTCAGCGCTTGCAGCGCAGCAAAAATCGATCTCTGCAATGCTGCAGACGCACCGCTCCTGAACGCACTGCCGGACCGCAACCGTGTGCAGTGTGCACGCTTTATTAATCCGTTAACATGAGCGTGGAAAAAATATGCACCACATTCGCACTGCAAACGGAGTAGTGAACCTGGCATTATGTGTGTGTGCTGAGAGTGTGCATGAGCGCACGGTCTCCAGGAGAGCGCTGGATGGTTAAACACTGGCAAGAATTAAAAAGTAATGCAATTTATCAACTTTAGTGACGATGTGACAGCACGTCGATTGTGCAGGTGACAATTCCTGTCAACTGTGCAGCATGCAGCTTGCTTATAGCGCAGACGCGATGTGGTGATTTGAAGACATTTGCGTATTTTGAGAGAGAAAGAACTTTGTTTTCCTACCTCCACGAGTGCCATCTATTATTGCCTTGTTTATCTAAAAGTGCTCTTTCCCTTTAAACCTAGCCAAAAAGCCATAGCCTATATGTGTTGACTGTGAAACACAGTAGACTTTAATAATATGCATTTATGGTGTAATTACTACATTTTCGTATCAATCCATGTTCATATTTACCGCAAACAATGCGCTGTTACTTTAATTCAGCGCTTGCAGCGCAGCAAAAATCGATCTCTGCAATGCTGCAGACGCACCGCTCCTGAACGCACTGCCGGACCGCAACCGTGTGCAGTGTGCACGCTTTATTAATCCGTTAACATGAGCGTGGAAAAAATATGCACCACATTCGCACTGCAAACGGAGTAGTGAACCTGGCATTATGTGTGTGTGCTGAGAGTGTGCATGAGTGCACGTTCTCCAGGAGAGCGCTGAATAGTTAAACACTGGCAAGAATTAAAAAGTAATGCAATTTATCAACTTTAGTGACGATGTGACAGCACCTCGATTGTGCAGGTGACAATTCCTGTCAACTGTGCAGCATGCAGCTTGCTTATAGCGCAGACGCGATGTGGTGATTTGAAGACATTTGCGTATTTTGAGAGAGAGCGCGCGTGCGCGCGGTGATTCACTCACGCTGTTTGTGAAATTACGTCTCACAAGGTTTTCAAATTACTTTATAAGTTATTTAATGAAAAAATATGAAGGTGAGTACCTATTATTTCACCCGCGCCAGACTGAGACGGTGCCACTTCATGCCGTGCCAAACCTCTCACGGCAGCATCAGCTTGAGATCAGTTTTTTGAGATCGGCCTTTTAGAGACCGCCGAGCGATCATCCCAACGTGATTATCGGCCGATAGTGATCGGTAGCCGATCAATCGGAGCATGGCAAGAATTAAAAAGTAATGCAATTTATCAACTTTAGTGACGATGTGACAGCACCTCGATTGTGCAGGTGACAATTCCTGTCAACTGTGCAGCATGCAGCTTGCTTATAGCGCAGACGCGATGTGGTGATTTGAAGACATTTGCGTATTTTGAGAGAGAGCGCGCGTGCGCGCGGTGATTCACTCACGCTGTTTGTGAAATTACGTCTCACAAGGTTTTCAAATTACTTTAGAAGTTATTTAATTAAGAAATATGAAGGAGTACCTTACCTTCAAGCATTATAATTACTTCACCCACGCCGGACAGAGACTGAGACGGTGCCGCTGCATGTTGTGCCAAACCTCTCACGGCAGCGTTATCAGCTTGAGATAATTTTTTTGAGATCGCCTTTTTAGGGATCGCCGACCAATCCCAAAGTGATTATCGGCCGATAGTGATCGGTAGCCGATCAATCGGAGCACCCCTAAAATTAAATTAAAAAACATGTAGTCTTACATCTAGGGATGCACCGAATTGAAAATTCTGGGTCGAAAACCGAAACGGCTTTGTAATGATTATTTATTATTTTATTAAATAATATAAAGTAATTTTGTAAGACTTTCTAAATTTAACTCAATTTTAATTAACTTTAGTTAATGATCTAAGAATGAACAATAGTTCTTCAGCATTTACTAATTTTAGTTCATGTTAATTTCAACATTTACTAATGCATTATTATAATCAACAGTTGTGCTTGTTAACAGTTAATGCACTCTGAATTAACATGAACTAACAGTGAACAACTGTATTCTCATTAACTAACATTAAGAAAGATTAATAAATACTGTAATAAATGTATTGTTCATTGTTCGTTCATGATAGTTAATACATTAACATTAACTAATGGAACCTTATTGAAAAGTGTTACCTTAATATTAAATATCAGTATTCACATATCGCGGTTTTTGCGCACTCAAGTTCATTATTTCAAATGTAGACGTGCGGCAGGCGCGCTCATAATGGAAGCGACGCGCACGCGGCGACGCGCTCATTTTTTCCAGGCGCTTCCGTGCCGCATCGAGATAAAAACATTTCAGCTAGGTGCGCCTAGCGTTTTCTACACGTTTTTAGGCGCAACATGTGAACGGCCTCTTAAACTGTAATTCTTAAACTTAAAGTTCTGCATAATTATGGGCGTGGCCACTTGAGTGATGGGTGGATTGCCGCTGCTGTCACCACCGTCGAGCTAGGTGGGCGTGGTTTCAGCAGCCAGCTCCCGCCTCTTTGCCCATTTTCGATTATCCGGGAGTGACGCGCGGCCAAGATGGCGATGGCTGGCTCCGCCTACTTTAGGCTTCACAAAGTCTCTTCGAAAGTCTACGGGTTACGTCACGGACACTTCGTCCATGTTTTTATACAGTCTATGGTTGTGACATTTCTGGACTGCACTAGGCGGTTGAGCCAATCACAATACACTGGACCAGCTAACCAATCTGAGCCCATTGCGTATTTCTGAGGGAGGGGCTTCATAAAATTAAATTAAAAACGAAGCACTAATGGTGTGTTCACATCAGACGCGACGCGAATATGCGCATCGCGCCACTCGCGCTAGATTACTCGCGGGATGTTTTTCGTGTCACTCGCGCCGATAAAAACAGTGCGATCAACCATGGTGGAGATAACTACAATCGCTGTTTTGTACCTGTTGTCAAAAAGTCCCAAATACAATGGAAAGCCAAATGCCGACGTGTCTGGGTTCACAGCACCATCAAGTGGAGGATGAATAACGTTAGGATCCTGTATTAGTGTGTTACATTTTACTACTGTATATATACACTGATATTACTATTATTTTTATTAATGATAGCAGCATCTCTGTAGCCATGCTAATAAAATACAACTACCACTACAACTGATCGTAATTGTTTTCTATGCTCCAGACCTATATAATAACAGACGGCTGCAATAATGCTCTCTTCTATTGTCTGATTCAACCAGACGTGCCAATAAGCTCTTCACTGATTGGCTTGCGCGAGAACGCGTTAGGGGAATTTTCCACTCGAGTTGACATTTTTGAACTCGCGATCGAGGCGAATATCTCGCGTTCGTGGCAAACGGGTCGCGCATTGTGTCATTCGCGTCGCCTGGCGCGAATTCGCCTCTATTCGTGTCTTTGCATTGACTTTGTATGTAATCTACTCACGCAAATAATTAAATTCGCGTTTGGTGTGAACGCACCATAACACATGTTAGACTGTACCCCATAAACACAATCAAGCCAAGAAAAAAAAAAGCAGTCAACCACCCCTTTAAGATAAACATAGATAGTAGCTTATAACTTTACCTTTACTCCGTCTTTTCAGCTTTTGTGTTATTGTTTGGATCGACACACTCTTCAAATATGGAGCATCACATTGACATGCCACATCTCTTGTTAGGGGCTGTATAACAGGAATTGCATCACAGTATGATATGGGTGCAAAGCAAAAATACATCATTGTACAGGACTGACAAATTTTGAATTAAACTTTGAGTAAGAATTATTCCTAAGGGGACTGTCTTTCTTGAGATTTCTGCGGTTGAAACACTGACCAATAAGCTTTACTGTATTCTTCAACATACCATCTGATGTTCAATCATTTGTACTTAATGATATAACCAGTAGTAAAGAGGGAGAGATGATTCTTGTGATGAATCTCGGCACTAAACTAGTTATTTTGTGTTGGCGTGTTTATGTACCAAAAATAAATTTATTTAACCCTTTCATGCATGGTGTCCACTACAGTGGACAGATATTTGGAAGCCATTTTGAACCATTTAAGTTGTAGCACCATGTCCCAACCACAAACTAGCGAACCCCCAAAGTGTCGTCTACAATTCCATTTCATTATTGTCTTTGTATCTCTTTTTTTGTTTTGAGATACTGCATAATATATTCAAAAAGGTGGAGGGAAGAGGAGATGCACCAAGTACCTCAGGAATAATGGTGCGTTTCCACTGGCACGTAGTGAGCGCAGTGGAGCGAGCGTTTTCAATTAATTCCTATGGAAGTTGAGCTTACACGCTCGTGCGGTGCATTATGGGATTGAAAGCGGCATCTCAATCCTTTTTTTAGTTGTGATTAGAGCCCGACCAACATGGGTTTTTGGGACACACTTCCCATTCGTGTGTCCAAACTTTTGACTGGTACTGTATATTGAATACAGTATATAGCCTAAATAAACAATATATATACATAAACATTTTTTGCAATGATAACTCAAATGTGGTGATCAAACACTTATAATGATGTGACAAACATAGGCCTATGTAATGGAGGCAGGGTATTTAACAATTTAACAATAAACTTTATTATTCAAAATGAGCCTGACATCAGTTCACTTAACAGTAAACTTCACTTCACTTATTATAAATAACACAAATAGAACAAAATATATTTGAATTAAGAAATTAAACAAGGTAACAGTGTAGGGCAAGCAAGCTTCCAAACCAACAGGGGCAGGTTTATGCAAGAAGCACAGCTTTTCCAAATGTAAACATCTAAAATGAATAAATAATAATAACGAATAATATTTTTTTCACAAACTATGTGTTGTGTATTTTTTGGTAATCCAATGAACATACAGAACATTCGTATTTAAATCGTCTTTTTGCAGTTTAATATTCACAGACACAGTCTATATATAATTAGATAGATTAAACAAATGTTATTTTCAAACAGAAGCTTGTAACGCCCATGATATCAGTCAAAGCATATAATGACTACTAAAAATGACAAATTATATATAATTTTCTTTCAAATAAAAGGAAAATTGAGAATCCGGTGTAGACAACATCACTGATTATAATGGGCTCTATTCTACACCGGACGAGAGCGGCGTGACAAAATATAATAGAATGTGATGTGACCGATGTGATAAGCATGAGTTCTGGGCCACGGTGTGGCCGGTAAACACCAGCATTGAGTGGCCGCGATCAGCTCCGGTGGCCGTAACACAGGCCATCGCGACCGCAGCCAGCGTGTTTTGGGGATTGGGAAAAGGGTTTCGGGAGAACAACAACCTAAAAGGCACCTCCTCGCCATTTCTGTGCGTTAACTACGCGGTTTCTCCTTCGCACGCTGCGTCGACGCTCACGCTGCACGCTCGGAGGGGCGTGGCTTATGCTCAAGCCCAAACTCATCAGAGAAGGCCAGTCATTTCCGAGGGGGAGGTGCATTTTCAAATTTGGATTAAAGATTAGGAAGGCAAACAAAAAAAAAATGTGTCCAGTCTGAAGGAGCTGAACACGCAACGCCAGGTGGTACTTTGGGAGATGGAATGGGATGGAGCATCAAATAATTATTTATAAATATATGGGTGGATATGCGAGAAAGAGTCAAGAGCAAAAACAGGGGGAAACTGACTATAAATAAATCATCACTGCACAACAGCAGCAAAAGTAGGTGGCGATATGTACAAAGAATGCAAAGCGCCAAAAAACTTTAAAGATTTTTTTGTGGATTAAAGGGGTCATATGATGCTGCTAAAAACACATTATTGTTTCTCTATGCCCCTCCTTTCTGAAAGGCATCGATTCTTACAAAGCTCATCGGTCTGAAAAGCGAGGTGTGCTGTGATTGGCCAGCTATCCAGTGTGTTGTGATTGGCCGAATACCTCAAGCGTGTGACGGAAATGTTACGCCCCTCACATACTGTTGATGCCTGCGGCAACCACATGTGACGACTCCGGGCTGGACTCCGCTTCGTCCACGGTGAAAGCTGATCCGGTGATCCACAGCGCAAAGCTGATGTATTCCCTCAGCGACCAGCACGGATCAGCTCTAGGCATGACGAAGCGGATATCGTCCTCTTCTGGAAGACCAAACAAAGTAGTTTCGCTTTCACACTTACTCCAAAGAGAAAGGAAAAATTGAAATTGCATCATATGACCCCTTTAATTTGCACAGATGAATTGTTCACCACAAAAAAAAAAGCATTCTTCGCTAACAAAATAAATATACTCAATTTTGATTTCATGTGTACTTTAAATTAGAACACAGTACAAGCTTACCGTTGTGGATCGGGATAAGGTAAGGAGACAGTTTTGAACACTGGCTGGTTACTTGCTAATAAATAGATTTTGGATCATCTTTAACCGAAAATGGTTATGGACCGCAGTCTTCAGCTTTAAATTATATTAACATTAATTGCAATATAAAATAATTTTGATTATTGACTGTAATATCACATTACAGTTAAAATTATATTTAATACATGTAATTAATACAAATAATTACATGTGCTTTAGAATGTAAGTTAACAGATGCAGCTAAATATGTACTTTAAAGACCATTTTTGACATTATTACAGTGCACTTTACTTAAGTGCACTCATACTTTTCTGTACTTAAGTGTGTTAAATTTACTCGCTTTAGGTACACTTACTAGGACATTTTATTTAATTAAAGCTGCAGTTCGTAAATTTTGCCTCTTTGTCGCCATCTCTGTTTGAAAATCTGCAATTGCAGCTGTGTGTGGAATTATCTTCCTTGCGTGGGTTGTGCGGCGGCACGGCTCCAGTGCAGATGAATCTAATGCTTTGAGGAGTATGTGTGGCGGTCAGTCACTGCACCGGTGTGGATATTTACTGTACTTCGCAATCACAGATTCTAGTCTACGTCTTGGAATATATGACCCAAATAAGCATTTTCACTGGATATTGCCATCTGAACAAGTAAGTAACAAGTCTGCCACGTTTGTTCTGACCAACTAAAGAAGAAAACATTACAATAAATCGTGCTACCAATGGTGATTTAATCTAAAGATTGGTTAGCTCATATCACATCAAACTGTGCAAATTATTATTATTGTTATACTTTATTCTCAAATTGTTAATGCTAACAACATCATCATTGGGGACTATGTGAATATAGTGTGTATTAGTGTATTAGATTTCAATTTCTGTACAGTCTCATCTCTAATTGTCATACCATTCGAATTTCATATTAAGAAATTCTTTTAACCTAAAAAGCAAATTATGCTCCCTTCGAACTGGTTGTCTTTAAAAAACAAATCTTGTGTAATCCCAGGCTATCTGTAATCAGAAGCACATTTAAAACTGGAATATAATTTAATTTAATTCACATGTGTTTCATAAACACATAATCCTTTCTGGATTACAATCCGCCATCAAAATGATACATTTAATTATTCCAGCTGCTGTGAGAAAAGGCTATAAACGATCCTTCACCGGCATGATCCTCACATGCGATAGCCTTCTAGCCGGGACAGCTTCTCTATGTTTACAGATGTGACGTAATGACGCAGCGCCATGCTCGACTTTCCCGCGAAAACCTACCCGTACCACTCAAATTAGAAAACATTATTATAAGCTAACCGTTGTGAATCGGGCTAAAGTAAGGCAATAGTTTTGAACACTGGCTGGTTATGTACTTGCTCAAATATTGATTTCATTTTTAACCAAAAAAGTTTACGGACTGCAGCTTTAAATGTATATTACCGTTAAGTATTTTAAAATATACTTTTAAGATTTAAGTAAACCACAAGTGCACATTCAGTACAGAGCACAACTATATCTAATACAGTTTGTCTAATTACAGATGAGGTTGGAGTATATTCATATGTTTAGTCCAGTCATAAAGTTTCTAAATATTTCCATACACACATATACAGTGGGTACGGAAAGTATTCAGACCCCCTTAAATTTTTCACTCTTTGTTATATTGCAGCCATTTGCTAAAATCATTTAAGTTAATTTTTTTTCCTCATTAATGTACACACAGCACCCCATATTGACAGAAAAACACAGAATTGTTGACATTTATGCAGATTTATTAAAAAAGAAAAACTGAAATAACACATGGTCCTAAGTATTCAGACCCTTTGCTCAGTATTTAGTAGAAGCACCCCCTTAATCACTGTCTTCATCCTGTTACTTTTGTATTGTTACTGTTGTTGCAAGTGTGAGCAGCTGAACTTAAACCGTGTTCATACAATGGCAGTCACAAAAAAAACGGGCAACATGAGACAATCAAGGAAAACTTTAATGGTAGCACATTAAATTCACAGAGCTGTAGGATGAAGTTTTTTCTTCTTGCTTTACATTTTAGTAAAAACAATATGGGAGATGGCTCCGTGGCCCAATGAATTATGAAATATATTCAAAACAAGAAAGAACTGGCAAAATCGGATAGAAATACTTCTAAGGCTGTTGTGAGTTGCATAAAACACTTCAGATGTCATCCCTGAATTCTCATCTCCCAGTTATCATGAGTCCATATGCTTGTTTTGAGCTGCTCATTACTGTGTTTTCTTTTCCAGGCCTTTGACTTGTCCCTCCAGTCTTCTGATTCGGCTTTCCAGACAAACGGCTTTGCCTGCTGTCCCACCGCCGCTGCTTATAGCGACTCCAAACACAGCACAGATGAGCATTAGTAGAGTCAGTCTCATTGTAGTGACTTCAGTGGAGGCGGCGGGGTCACAGACGATCCGCAGAAACAGCCACAGCACTACGACCGCTTTAATCAGCCAAAACGCTCGCCTTACAAGCCCAACGGTGACTCGAAGCAACAAGGACAGGAGCCAGTATCCAATCAGAGCCAGCAAAGCCCACTTGGTCACAGCAGACACACTCTCTGCGGTGAAATGAGGCACTGATATCGTCTCTTTAAATAGGACACAGACAGAAAGAAAAAAGAACAGATGTTAATTGGGTGTAGCAGTTTCTAAGGTGTTATAAGTGGTTGCTAAAGGGAGGGGTTGGCTGATGTTTGGGTGGTGCTAGGTGTAAGTCTATTGAATTTTTTGCCCCATTTAATCATCTGCTGTGTAAAAATTAAAGTTAGTTCACCCAAAAATGAAAATTAGCCCATGATTTACTCACCCTCAAGGCATCCTAGGTGTATGTGACTTTTTTCTTTCAGACAAATCCAATTAGAGTTATATAAAAAATTGTCATGGCTCTTTCAAACTTTATAATGGCAGTGAATGGGTGTTTCTGTTCAACAGACCAAAAGAAGTGCAATAAAGCACATCCATCCATAATAAACAGTGCCTCACATGGCTCCGGGGGGTGAATAAAGGCCTCCTGTAGTGAATCCATTCATTTTTGTAAGAAAAATGTTATAAACACATTTCTAAGTTTTTTAAATAACTCCGATTGGATTCCTCTGAAAGAAGAAAGTCATATACACCTAGGATGCCTTGAGGGTGAGTAAAGCATGGGCTAATTTTCATTTTTGGGTGAACTAACCCTTTAAAAGCTGAAGAATGATAACTAAAACTATATCAACATCCACACCAACAAAAGGTAATGTTATGTTTATGATAAGCTTTAAATGCTCAAGCTCTTTAAAGTCAAATGGGTTCTGATTTGCTGTGAATATCTGTCTCAATTCAGAGGCTGCATCATTCGAAGGATGGATTCGAAGACCTGAAATGTCACAGGGGCTGTCCCAATTCGAAGGCTCCTTCAAATACAGCCTTGAAATACGTCCTACAACTGATGGATCCAAAATTCACTGCACGCTGGTGACGGCAAGATTTTTTGACAGAAAATTACACTTTAAAATGTAAGTATTGGGTTTCAACTTACTTAAAGTGGTCCTATTATGCTCTTTTACAAAGTCTTGATTTTGTTTTGGGGGTGTACTAGAACATGCTCTCATGCTTGGTGGTTCGAAAAACGCATTATGTTTCACATAATTTACATTATTAAAATACTTTCTCCCCATCCTGGCATAAACTGCTCGATTAGTTCCGGCTTTGATGAAGGTCCGCCTTCCGAAAAACAAAATGTGTTGTGATTGGTTAGCTGTCCCAGTGCGTTGTGATTGGCGAACAGCTTAGGCGGTGTTTCAGTACTGCCCCGCCTCTTGCTCTGTCTTTCAACAAAAGCTTTTGGCGAATCACTGTACTCACTGTACTCCCTCGTGATGTGGAAGCTGTCCTCAGTAAAATGCGCAGCACACAATAGCAAATTGGGGTTATAATGCTCAGGAACAGAGTTAAAAAATAAATTGCAACCACTGTTTCCTGACATCATCCGCTTTCAGAAGCCCAAACAAATTTTTCACGGAGGTGAAAAAAAAAAACTGCGTTTCAGGCGGTCGCGCACCGGACGAGAAGTGCAGCGACGCGTCGCGCCACATCTTTAAAATTCAAATTCATTATTTTCTATGAGTGTAGGCGCTTTGACGCTAAAATTAAAAAAGTGAAAAAGCATAATAGGACCCCTTTAAATATTTAACGATAAAAATGTTGCCAAAAAAAAAACACTTTAAAAATTTTGACATTTCTTACTAAGATGCCATTTTATAGATAGTTTATGCTATTTATTATTTACATAAATGGACCATGGTGAACATATTTAGACAGTTGAATATCACTTTTTAAAAAGTACAGTAAAATCACCTTAATGAAAACTAACCATGGTTTTACTACACTAACAATAGCTTAACCATGGTATTTATAGTAAAACTGTGGTTATACAAATGGAAATCAATCCACCAAAAAAAAAAAAAAAAAACTAAACATGGTTACTGCACTTTTACTATAATTAAACCATGGCTAATTTTTGTAAACGTTACTACAACGATATAATTTATATGTGTTGTTATCGTTATAGCTGTGAACTTCCCTAATCTCATAGATTAAAACGATTATTAAAACTTCATAATTATATTTATCGTCACTGGTGTGAAGAGGCCTTTAGAGTTGGGGTTTAGGATCCACTAATATACTGATGAGTGGGACAACTGCATGTTCTGTATATGGGCCCATAATCAGGGCCATCGCTAGTGGGGTGAAAGGTGGTGACGATTATAGGGGCCCACGGCTGAGGAGAGGCCCCCGGTAATCTCAACCGACTGCCCAAAAAGACGCTCAGGACAGTTGATGGGCCACTGCTGTGCATCGTCACGAAAGCTTATCATTTGCACATGTTTTTAAGCCTTGCCAATTTAAACATTCAAAAGAGTTTAAAGCATTCAAACACAAGACGCGGAAAAACTCAACTGAGTACTCGCACGGCGTGTTCGGTGCGCACGCAGAGAGCCGCGTCTCACGGACAACAACACCGAACCGAGCAATCCTTTGCACCTGAACGAACAAATACAAATCGCAGATTAAACATGCAAACAGAAAAAGACGTGAAAGAGCCCAATTCAGCACCCGCGCGCTGTGTTCTGTGCGCACAGGGCGCACGCAGAAGAGACACGTCTCAAAGCGCTTGAACACCGAACTGCTTCTTCTTGTCTTGGAGAGTATCCTCGAAAAAACTGTCGGTTATGTCTAAAGTGAAAGTAAACAGTGGAGAAAGAAATCGGATGTGTATCATTATAATGGATGCATTGTCTCTTAAAGTGACCATGCCTAAATTCACTCACTGCTCTTGACTGAATTACTTTGTAGTTTTAACAAGAATTAATCCACAGTCAAACCAAAAATTATTCAGACACCAGATATCATTTTTTATTTCTTTTTTTACTAGTGGGTGCAGGACACTATAGTTCATTTATGTAAGTGAGGATAGCAAAATAAAGTAAACTGTGACATATTATACCCACAAATTCTTCATACAGTGGACTACCAGTAAAATTGATAAAAAATTTGGGACTAAAAATTATTCAGACACTTTGACCTGACCATGTTTTGCTTAAGTGTTTTTTCTTTAATTGCTAATGCGACCTTTTTACACCACAGACTGAAGCATTTAAGCATTGCTTGGTAATTGGTCAACAAAGTATTGATAGATGTGTAAATATTGTCATACTAACAGTTATCTGAATTTTTGGTTGATTGTAATCCATTACATACATTTCTATCAAAGTTATCTAGCATTATCAAGCTGAATTTGCTCTGACACAGTTTAACTCTGAGTTCTTGTCATATTTTATTACCATTTTCTAAACTATAGCAAATAAACTGATAATGTGAGAAATGTTGAAGGTGTCTGAATCAATTTTGGTTTGACTGTATCTATAATTTTTACAGTGAAGACTATGCAGTGCTATTTTACATTTGATTATTCGGTTTCTGTACCTGGACACCTACAAACTTGAAAAAACGTAAACATTGTGTAAATAGCAGAAATAAATAAATAGAACGAACATACAAATTAAACGATTTCAAACAGGGCCCACTGGTACAACCTGCACTGGGGCCCCGCAAACCCCAGCTATGGCCCTGCCCATATGTTTCTGAGATGAAATACTACCTTCTTTCTCCCCATTTTCTCCTAATACTGTCGTTTGGACATTCCACACATACTAAGCCACACAGCCATTTATGTCAGCATTACGAGGCCCACGGGCCACAGTAACATACTTTCTCTGTTAATACTCAACAGAGTTACAGCTTGAGCTTGCCAAACTTCATTACACTGCATTAATCTTTGAGAATATATATGCATATTTAAGTTAAACGTTTTTTTAAATGATTTAGATTTAGATCTAGACACCTAGAGACGACCTTTACTCACTGTTGACTCCTGTTGCTCTGAGAATCTCAGATACATACACAGCAATGACATTCAGTCCACTGGCAGCTCCTTCAGCAACAAACTGCAGCAACATTTCGACAAACTAAAGAAAAAAATGAAGGAAGAGAAAAGTGATTAGATTTCAGAACCTGTCTATGTAGTGCACATTTCTTTTCTTACAGAGGGCAGTCTTTATCTGAACTCAACTCATAGATCACTGGCCATAGCTGATCATTAACCAATACTGACTGACAGAGTGACACAACGCACATCTGATTTAATTAAAGCAATGTTTCAGGGTTCAATGCGAATTCTATAGACAGCGTATGTGACATGCTGTTGGTTGCAAAAATCATGTTTTCATTAATGCACTAACAATGTATATCTACGGGGCACAACACTGTAACATAACAGTAAGGTATTTAGTAGTTGCTGTTCTGTTCTGATGGAATCACAGACAGCAAGGAAAACACTGCAAATTATAAAATGCAATTAACTATATGATCATACAGTTAGCAGAAAATATATAGGTATATCAGTTTTTAAAAGGGCGGAATAAACATTTATTTTGCCTTTTGACCGAAAAAACAACAACGTTTTTTTCTGATATTTTAACAAAACTGCTTCACAATTAATATTTTTCTGAGAAATCTTTTTTTTTTATGGCAAACTGCTTTAATTTTAATTATATCCTTTTCATTTTCATTATGATCTCAGGACATTTGTAGCACCCTGACATTTTTTCCTTTATACTCCCCAAAAGTTAACAATAATTAAAGTACAAATTATATCAAGATGTGTGTTTAAAGTCATTGTGTACAAATTGCAATTTTTTTTTATGTCAAGGAAGTCAAAAGATACAAATACAAAATTCTGAGAGAATAAAGAAATGAGTTACAATAAAATCAGCTGACTTCCTGTGCCATTCAGTGTACATTTTTGTAATGCTTACAGAACCTGAATGATATACAATAAGGAGGAAATAAAAGGGAAAAAGAAGAGCGAACCACAAAAAAGAGAGGGAAAAGAAAAAAAAAAACCCCGCAAGGTAAAGTACAGTGTAATGGTGACCTTGCATAGTTACATTAAATTTACAATACTGAGATATGATTATATCTATTTTAACATTGCTAATTCTCAGAGTCTAAAAATTCTTTCCACATGCTCCATAAAATAGCCCCCTTTTGCTTTTTTAATTTTAAAGAAAAAGTAAGGGTTTCCATCTTACATATTTCAATTACAATTGCTTTCCATTCTTCTAGAGTGGGAGGATTAAGTTGAAGCCATTTACGAGTAATAGCCTTTTTAGCTGCAATAGGTATGTATAATTTGTTTCATGCAAATCCAGAATTCCCAAATATAACACATGAAACTGAAATGGGATATTAATCTTGAATATTGAAATCCTCCAATGTCCGGTGTATGTCTTTCCAAAACAAGTGTATAACTGGACATGCCCAGACTATATGGTGGTGATTTGCTACTTCTGAATTACAGTGTCTCCAACACCTAAATCCTATTTCACTATGGCACTTTTGTGCAGGGGATATAAAAAATCGAATTACATTTTTCCATGCAAATAACCTCCACTGATGTGAGCCTGTGGTTTCCCATTGGGATTTACACGTTTTTAACCAAGCCTCTTCTGTTATAATAATGTTTCCTTCCTCCTCCCATTTAATTCGGACATACTGTATGAGGTAGAATCTGATCTGTAATTTTGAAAACAATTATCAAATTTGGAGATTACCTTACTAATAGTATTAGCCCTATATGCCGACAGGAATATCTTCACTAAATCATTCGGTGCCCAATCCCCGCTCTTGTTCACTTTTGAATTAAAGTAGTGTCTTATTTGAAAGTATCTAAACAAGTCTTGATTATCCAACTTAAACCGATTTTTAAATTCTTGAAAACTTAAGAAAGTATTATTGTTTGTAACAGAATAATATGATGTAATGCCATTCTTACTCCAATTCTTATCTAGAGTATTTGGAGTGAAATCTGTATCGTATGCACACCACCTCATTATCTTTAGAGCGTCTTTCAAATCATATTTTTTAATTACTGTGGCCCATGTTTCTAGGATAGTCATTATCCATGGATATTCTTTACTTATAGTATATATCTATTTTTTATCTAAAAATAAATTTTATGCACCATAATTTTCTTTTCTATAACGTATGAATACATCCCCTATCATATTCTACAACAAAAACAGAGCGCCTTGTTATCACTAGTTCTATTTTGATTTCCAGAGTCCGCTATTAGCGCACAGCCCATTAGCATCGCCAGTGTGGTTGCCGCTAATCTCGCTTGCATTACTAATACTCTATTCACACACATTACCATTGTTTTACTCACTGTTACTTGTTTTAATGGCGGATGTGTGTCTACCTTTGAATGCAGGTGAGGACATTCGAGCTGGAGGCTGTGGAGAAGCAGATCCGTGACCTGGTGGAGGCAGACCCAGCTGAGAGAGTGGAGCTGGAAACATCCCTGGCTGATGCTCACAAGTCCGAGATAAATATACAGCGCACTGCTAACTCTCCCACCACCTCTACGCCGTGTGTTTCTCTGCACAGGCCCGGTGCACCTGCCACGGAAGACGCGAGCCAGGCCCCGGGCGATGATCTCCACCCGGAACCACTTCGCTCCCCTCCGCGAGACAGAATGCGATGCTGTGATCATCGGAGACTCCATCGTCCGGCACGTCCGTGCTACATTAGCTGAAGGTAAAGTGCACACTCACTGTTTCCCTGGTGCTCGTGTTCTCGATGTTTCTACGTAGATACCCGCGATCCTGAAGGGCGACGAGAGCACCGGAGCGGTCGTGCTTCATGCGGGGGTTAACGACACCAAGCTGCGGCAGACGGAGACACTGAAGAGGGACTTCAGGAGCCTGATCGAGATGGTGTTACAGTGTCTCCAACACCTAAATCCTATTTCACTATGGCACTTTTGTGCAGGGGATATAAAAAATCGAATTACATTTTTCCATGCAAATAACCTCCACTGATGTGAGCCTGTGGTTTCCCATTGGGATTTACACGTTTTTAACCAAGCCTCTTCTGTTATAATAATGTTTCCTTCCTCCTCCCATTTAATTCGGACATACTGTATGAGGTAGAATCTGATCTGTAATTTTGAAAACAATTATCAAATTTGGAGATTACCTTACTAATAGTATTAGCCCTATATGCCGACAGGAATATCTTCACTAAATCATTCGGTGCCCAATCCCCGCTCTTGTTCACTTTTGAATTAAAGTAGTGTCTTATTTGAAAGTATCTAAACAAGTCTTGATTATCCAACTTAAACCGATTTTTAAATTCTTGAAAACTTAAGAAAGTATTATTGTTTGTAACAGAATAATATGATGTAATGCCATTCTTACTCCAATTCTTATCTAGAGTATTTGGAGTGAAATCTGTATCGTATGCACACCACCTCATTATCTTTAGAGCGTCTTTCAAATCATATTTTTTAATTACTGTGGCCCATGTTTCTAGGATAGTCATTATCCATGGATATTCTTTACTTATTTAAATATTTTTTAAATAAATTATCATCTGCAATTACTGCCTGAATCGGTATTTCAGAAAAAAAGAAGAAATCAATCTGTTTCCATCTAGCTTTATAGTCTGGATTGCACCAGCAAACTATAGGTCTTAACTGGGCAGCTATAAAATTGTCCTTAAGAGATGGGAGAGCCAAGCCTCCTCTTTCTTTTGGTAACTGGAGTGTTCTATATCGAATTCTGGATTTTTTACCTTGCCAGATAAACCTTATAATCCATTTGTCCCAATCTTTAAATTGTTCTTCTGGAACCTTTAATGGGAAGTGTCTGAAATAAGTATAAAAGCCTTCGGAGCATATTTATTTTGATAATATCCACTCTATCCCCTAAATTCAAGAAAGGGATGACGTTCCATCTCTGAATGTCTGCTCGTAACTTAGCATTTAGAATTATAATTTACATCTGACAAAGTTCTAGTAACCTTTCCTAAATATTTTATTACCTCTGTATTATATTTCATCTTGTATTTAACGCTTGTTTCTTCTGAGGGAGTAAAATTGTAGCAAATGACCTGTGTTTTTTGCACATTTACTTTGTATCCTGATAAAGAACCAAATGTATCTAAAGTTGACATAAGGGTTAAAAATGATATCTCAGGGTCTCTCAAATATATGAAAACATCATCTGCAAATAATGCAATTTTATGTTCTTCTTCACCCATCTTTATCCCCCTAATATCATGATTCTGGCGTATCCACTGACTAAGGGGTTCAATGTACACTCTTAAAAATAAAGGTGCTTCACGATGCAATAGAAGAACCTTTTTGTCTAAATGGTTCCATAAAGAACCTTTAACATCTGAAGAACCTTTCTGTTTCACAAAAGGTTCTTTGTGGTGAAAGAAGGTTCTTCAGATTACAAAAAGGTAAGAAAGAGATGGTTCTGTAGGAAACTTTTTCCTCGTCGAAGCAGAAACCAGGAGACGTTGGGATATCTTTCATACAGAAGTCAATCTTTATTGAGGACTCGCTGTGCGTCGCTGCAGTCATCCAAGTCTGACTATAGCTCAGCACAGTAGAGTTTATATACATTTTAAGGGGGCGGGATTCATTAAGTAGAAGTGGCGACAATCTAAACAAAGCATGCAAATGCAATACAGGAATCAGCCCGTTACCGGAATTTCTCCAGCCCTGATCTCATCAGCATAACAGTGTCATTTAAATGCATAGGTGCTAATCCAATCAGCATAACTACTCAAAGACTGGGGCAGAGGCACCAAGAGCCATTACAAACAAAAGGTGACTTTCTCAGTAATTTGGTTAATTTGACTAACAATAAGAGAAACCGGAACAGACAGGAACCTCTTGC